ATGATATTAAGGCAACTTAGCAAACAATTAATTCCGTGTTCGGTAAAGATACTCTATCAAATCCAAGTTTCCAAATTAGTTTTTAAAAAATAATATTAAGATCACAGACCAGTCCAAAATTACTAATGAGTTTTTAAAAAATACTTGGTCACTCAATCAATTAACACGTCATACATTAATTATTCAGTTTTTCTTAATTCACCTAATACTTATTCCTCATTACTTACACCAGTGTCGGAGAAAGCCATCATTGACGTTACTGATTTATTTAAAATTAATAAAAGTCCATGAGGTGGCGATGATATTCATCCTGATGTTATTAAAAAAAAGTTTCGCCTTATAGGTGTAAACCGTTGTGTCACATTTTCATTATTTCATTTCAGTCTGGTAAGTGAATTTATAACAGATTATTAGCATTCTCTTCCAAGTAATAAATTTTACTACGCCAACCAGTATGGATTCAGGAAAGCACACGCTACGGATCTTGCGGTGCTCCACAAATATGAAAAATTAACGTATTTACTTGCAAAAAAATCACACAATTGATATTTTCTTTTATTATCCAAGGCCTTTGACACCATAGACCATGATATTTTACTCTAAAAAATTATCTAATTCTGGTTTAAGACGCCTTCCATTACAACTTATAAGAGATTATCTTAGAGACAGACAATTTATACCCCTATTAATTCATTCGATTCAAACTTATTACCTATGACCTGTGAGTACCGCATGGTTCTATTTTAGGTCTTTTGGCTTTATTTAATTTATGTTTATGATCTCTGTAATGCCTCAAAATTACCACATTTTATTTTGTTTGCAGATGATACCAATATATTTTATTCGCATGACAATAGACATATCCTTATAACCACAATTAACAAGTAACTCGAAAATGTATCTTTATGATTTAAAGTCAATAAAATATCGCTCAACATTTCAAAAACTAATTTAATATATCTCAATCGTAGGAAGAAATGCAATAAAGAATTGTCAAATGATATTTTATGGATGTTTTCAATACAATATTTCTTGAACTCATTTGTCATATTGTCAATGTTACAAAGATAGTTTCTAGAAACGTTGGAGTTTTATCTAAATTAAAATACACACTTCCTTTCAGTGTCTTATTCTCTCTATATAATACACTTATTTTACCTTATATCAATTACTGCAACATTGCATGGGCTGCAACCACTGGTTATATCATGTCCATTTTTTATGTTTATTGTGTGAAACAA